TTATTTATAACACCCTTCAGTTATTTAGTTCTTAAAAAGGGAAAGAGCTATTACCTTACGTCTACATTGCAAACTTCACCCTTTCTTTTAGGCCACTAAGACATTTTTTTTAACATAGTAAAGAGCTAGAGAGATAAGCTTTCTGCCTTCTCGCACTGTTTGGTGCACCTGGATTTCACATAATTGTGTAATGTCTATGATAATTGTTTTCATGTGGTGTTTGTGTCAAGCTAATGTTTTAACTGGCCACTTCAGGTTTTTTCCTTCCTCTTTATTTTTATTGTGCACAAGAATTATTACTTTTATTATTATTATTTTGTTTTGGCATGCAAGGTTAAAATGCATGTGTGCAGATCTATAAATGTATTTTACTAATGTATCAAAAGGCTTGATAAAAACATATTACATTATAAACTTGAGTACTCTAAACATCTAAAAAATACCTATTAATATATTTGGGTCTATTAAATGTTCCACAAAACTTCTAAATGCTAATGGTTTATACTAAATGGCATTCATTAAAATTATAAGATAAATATTTCAATAAGCAATAAAATCTAACGTTATATACATAGATTTTGATTAGAATTTCCTTCTCAAACAGTTCTAAATATATATATAGATATATAGATATATAGATACTTTCAATTGTGCAATAGTCAGAGGTAGCAATCATTTCTCTTTCAAAAATATTTCTTAATACAAAGCTACTAAATGTAAGATTATATTAAAGTTAGATTACATGTAAAATGATATATATATATTTTTCTAAAGACCTTTTGTTGAGTTTCCTTTTCATAATAAAAATTACAGGAGATACATTCACAGCAAAAATTAATTACAAGATCTCGGTAGCTAAAATTCTTTTATATATGACTGCATGTGAACGCACTGTCTACATGAGCTTATGTTTAAATATATATATTTTACTTGGTATCAAATTGGCTTATAAATAAGTGCTGATATAAACTGATGTGGTTAAGTTAGCCCAACTTCTTTTGTCTCACAGTAAAACTAAAGCTTTAAGGAAAGAGGTTCCAACTCCAACAGACTTAAGTTAGCATGGCCACATGTCCAGTATGCCAATCAAAGATATTAAATCAATGTGACCACTTTGGCAAAGCAAATAGAAGTGACTAATGGTCCTAGATATTTTAAATCTAGATTTTAACATGAGTTTTTAAGTTTAAATGTTTAAAGAATCTTTTTAAGACAAGATATGCTAAAGTCTGGTCAAGATCTTATCTCCTTGATCTTTGTCTCAATTCTGGTTCTATAGCAAGCTCTCCTAATATGCTGAACTCTTTATTCCAAGGATTGTGAAAGATCACTTATCTCTGCTTTATCCGTATTTTGCATGTATGTTATATATTTATGAATATAAGCATTTTAGAACTTTTGGATAACTACTGCCTCTTTAAAGTCAACCAACAAGTTTGACAAGGTGCATATCTTTGCCAAGTGTATGTAAAAGCAGTTCTAAACATTAAAAAGAAAATTGGTCATTTACAAATACCCGCTTCAAGTTTACATCTTAAAGTTTAAGACTTTTTAAAGTTTATAACTAATCTTAATGTTACATTATAATAATATATTTGAGATAATTGTTCATCTGTTTTCAATTAAAAAAATATAATATAGTTAAATACTTGTTAAATGATTAATATAATTACTATAATTGTAAACAGATGGCAATAAATAAATAAGTAAAGTCCAATGCCAAAATTTTATCATCTAGATGCCTCAAACCCTAATGATAAGTGAATGTTTTTTTTTAATAAAAATGATTGCAAAGTGCCTGTTACCATGACTTATCTTTAACAAATAATGGTTTTAAGTTGGTTAAAAACAAAACAAAACTATTAATATGTTTTACTTATGTTTATTACTGTTAGAAATTTAAGAAGCCATATATATGTTTTCTATGTTTTGGATATAGCTTCCTAGATTTTCATTTTGGCATTGG